TTTCCAGATAGAAAAATGTTACACGAACGTAATAAATTAGAACCGATATTAGATTAGATAAAAATGAATAAATAGACATTTATTATCAACACAGATTTGTAATTTTATCGACAGATTCTGAAAAGCGGAGATTCAGTAAAATTTCAGATATCTGAATAATTTTTATTAGAATGGAGAAAAGATCATACGTCATTAATTTTACGTTACATTTTCGTTTAATATCATTGAATATACCATTAATAAATGCGGTCCAATTATCGGCATGTCATAGGCAACGTCCTGAGTAAAATCGTACTAATTAACTACAGTCACGTGCACATGACGAATGATCATTAGAATTACACGTAAATTGGTGAATATCGGTTATTATAGATAATCCGAAAACTACAAATGGGCATTAGGTAGGTATTATAGTCATTCGATAGCCATCTGATCTCACTGAAATTAATGAATCATTGTATAATTATGTAATACCTATTTCTTGCCACCGCCATGCATCTCCCATGACAGATATTTCTACACAGCGCAACAAAACTATAAACACTCCTGGATTTCTTGTGTTTCTTAAAACCACGGATGTGTACAAAGTTTTTGTATGTCAGCATATACAGAGTATCTCTTCTGTAGTAACGTATACACAATACAGCGACATGCTTTTTGAAAATGTGAACAATAATACCACCAATGAAAGAAAAATAAATTTCTAAGTTACATAGAATTTTTCGTAATGTTCTTGAGTGTCTTATAGTTTTGTCGCGGTGTGTACCTTCCGTCTATGAATACTTTTGAATTTATTATAGCATAATTGATAATTGTCTTCTATATGTATAATGTCTACAGATATTAGGTCTACCGGAAAGTTCTGTCTGATGATGTCATTGCAAATTTCAATAGGTGTGCACATGTTCATTTGAGACATATATTTTTGAAAAATGTTGCTCACAAATTGCCATCACGCTGGCAAGAGGTCACAAGTAACGACGGAAATTATATTGTAAAATAAATATTACTAAATTTATGAAAAATCTATTATTTCCTTTCATTTCTCAAACAGACAGAACTTTCCGGTAGACCTAATATAATTTCACATTTCGGATTCACGATATTCTTCCATATTTCTCGACCTCATAATGTCTTAAATAATATGATTTGTAACTGTATGCACTGTAAATGAATGTAATAACAATTAGCTTTTGTTTCATGCACACGCGGATCAGAACAACCTCACTTGCATAAAGGTAAGACCATTGAAGCTTGTAAAACAGAAAAGTGTACAACAATATTAATCCTTTGTGAACTGTGCCGGAGTCATTTTTAATCCGCGCCGGCTTCAGGCATATTTCTGCATCTGTCTTAAAGCTTTGCGCGTGGGGGGAACCTGACGGAACCATGAATGCGTCCGTATTACTAAAATATTGGTATGAGTTCGAAATGACCCTGGCACAGCACCGCGCGCCCAATACTCGGTGGGTTAAATTCGTATTTCGATGATAATCGTATCTGTTGGGATTATGGAATGAAAATGAATATGATTCTAATTCTTTGCTTAACCCTAGAAAGATAACCATATGACAACGTACGTAAAAGATAACCATACGCTTCAGAGGCGCATGCTTTTCTAAGGCGTCAATTTTATACTAACAATGGATATTTATTTAAGTTAATCTAGTCATTTTAAAGGTTTGGCATTATTGTAAAAATAAAATGCATTTATATTATATTTTTTTATATTTTAAGTAATTTTAAACTTAAATCACTAGACCTCTATGAAAAATTAACA